CTATACATGCTCTCCGCCAATTCCTAGGTACCTTCCCCTCTTTCATACATTTATTAAACAAAAGTAACAACCACTCCAACACTATATCCTCCCCTGCTTTTAACATTTCTGTCATGATCCCATCAGTTCCAGCTGCTTTACCCCCTTTCATTCTATGTAATGCCTCACGTACTTCCACCACACTTACATTCTGCTCTTCTTCACTCCTAAAAGATGGTATACCTCCCTGGCCAGTGTATGAAATTACCGCCTCCCTTTCTTCCTCAACTTTTAAAAAAGTTCCTCAAAATATTCTCGCCATCTACCTAACACCTCCCTTTCCCCATCTACTAATTCCCCTACTCTGTTTTTAACTGACAAATCCATACTTTCCCAAGGCTTTCTTAACTTGTTTAACTCACTCCAAAATTTTTTCTTATTTTCATTAAAATTTCTTGACAGTGCCTCTCCCACTCTATCATCTGCTCTCCTTTTGCACTCTCTCACCACTCTCTTAACCTTTCTTTTACTCTCCATATACTCTGCTCTGCTTATAACACTTCTGCTTTGTAAAAACCTCTCATAAGCTACCTTTTTCTCTTTTATCACACCCTTTACTTCATCATTCCACCAGTCAGTGTTGATATCAGTGTAATAATAAAGCACATTCACCTGCATCATGAGACTGAGCTCATGGCAACCGACAGTGTCTTCAAAGCCACCTTATATTTTATGGACAATGTACTGTGTATGTGCTTTACACAACGAGAAGCATTTCTTATTCATTGGAACCACGGGTAGAGCTAAAAGCAAGCAGGTTATAACAATAGAGAAAAAGAAATTGGAATGACTTATGCAGCAAGTAGCGCCACCAAACAGTACCAGTAGGTTGGTGTGGCGACCCTGGAAATTTGAAATTATGCTAGCCAAAATTAGTGCCGAATAACTGATGGAACTAGATGTCTGCTTGCCGAATTTGTGATGGCGGACCTGTACATGCTAAAATGTCAAGACAACTCTTAAAATGAAGCATTGTACTAAAAAAGACTGATTATACACTAAGCATAATGATTTAAACAAGGGTACACTAAGAGCAGTGAAAAAATCATCACTGCTGTCAAAGTATATTAAGTGTACCAAGAGGAACATCTGAAGACAAACATCTCAACTTCAACGTAACTGCTTGAGATAGTGTATTAAAAATCCACACACTAAGTACAATAAGTCCTCAACTTACCAACACACTGGGGACCTCCTGAATTGTGTATAATAATGATATAATAATTTTTTTTTTTTTAACAAGTTGGCCGTCTCCCACTAATGCAGGGTGACCGAAAAAGAAAGAAAAAATACCCAAAAAGAGAATACTTTCATCATCATTCAACACTTTCACCTCACTCATACATAATCACTTTTTGCAGAGGTGCCCAGAACACAACAGTTTAGCAGCATATACATATAAAGACACACAACATATCCCTCCAAACTGCTAATATCCCAAGCCCCTCCTTTAAAGTGCAGGCATTGTACTTACCATTTCCAGTACTCAAGTCCAGCTATATAAAAATAACTGGTTTACCTGAATCCCTTCACTCAGTATTACCCTGCTCACACTCCAACAGCTTGTCGGGTCTCAATTACCATTCATCTCCATTCACTCCTATCTAACACGCTCACACATGCTGGCTAGAAGCCCAAGCCCCATGCCCACAAAACCTCCTTTACCCCCTCCCTCCAACCTTTTCAAGGACAACCCCTACCCTGCCTTCCTTTCCCTACAGATTCAAATGCTCTCCATATCATTCTACTTTCATCAAAGCTCCAGGCAGACATCAACCAAATCTTTCAGTGGGCTGCAGAAAACAATATGAAGTTCAACGATGAGAAATTTCAATTACTCAGATATGGTAAACATGAGGAAATTAAATCTTCATCAGAGTACAAAACAAATTCTGGCCACAAAATAGAGCGAAACACCAACATCAAAGACCTGGGAGTGATCATGTCGGAGGATCTCAACTTCAAGGACCATAACATTGTATCAATCGCATCTGCTAGAAAAATGACAGGATGGATAATGAGAACCTTCAAAACTAGGGAGGCCAAGCCCATGATGACACTCTTCAGGTCACTTGTTCTATCTAGGCTGGAATATTGCTGCACACTAACAGCACCTTTCAAGGCAGGTGAAATTGCCGACCTAGAAAATGTACAGAGAACTTTCACGGCGCGCATAACGAGAATAAAACACCTCAATTATTGGGAGCGCTTGAGGTTCCTAAACCTGTATTCCCTGGAACGCAGGAGGGAGAGATACATGATTATATACACCTGGAAAATCCTAGAGGACTAGTACCGAACTTGCACACGAAAATCACTCATTACGAAAGCAAAAGACTTGGCAGACGATGCACCATCCCCCCAATGAAAAGCAGGGGTGTCACTAGCACGTTAAGAGACCATACAATAAGTGTCAGGGGCCCGAGACTGTTCAACTGCCTCCCAGCACACATAAGGGGGATTACCAACAGACCCCTGGCAGTCTTCAAGCTGGCACTGGACAAGCACCTAAAGTCAGTTCCGGATCAGCCGGGCTGTGGCTCGTATGTTGGTTTGCGTGCAGCCAGCAGCAACAGCCTGGTTGATCAGGCTCTGATCCACCAGGAGGCCTGGTCTCAGACCGGGCCGCGGGGGCGTTGACCCCCGGAACTCTCTCCAGGTAAACTCCAGGTATTCTCTCTAAATGACCAAACCACCTCAACAACCCCTCATCAGCCCTCTGACTAATACTTTTTTATTAACTCCACACCTTCTCCTAATTTCCACACACTGAGTTCTCTGCATAATATTTACACCACACACAGCCCTTAGACAGGACATCTCCACTGCCTCTAACCGCCTCTTCGCTGCAGCATTTACAACCCAATAATATATGCAATACGAAAGATTCTCAACGTGTTCGTAAGCAGAGGACTTATTGTACCTGTTAATAATCAATTCAGATTGCTAAGAAAAGCAATTAATATCTATTTAGTAATAAAATGCACTTGCACACAAAAAAATGAGAAGAGAAAACAGTAGATGAAGCCAGTTACACGAAGACCCAAACAGACGTCAAAACTGATTGAATAAATGGTTAGTGAGGTTTAGCTACACTGAAATAAAATTTGAAAAGTTACATGGGAAAAGGATCCCAAACAGTACTACATGGTCAAAAAAATGCTTACATCAAGAATTAAAAGGTAGACACTAATGACCATTGCTTTAAACCTGTTCTCAGACACTCGGAACAAAACCTAATCAGCACAGACTAAGCCTGCAAATTTAAGGACATTCGGAAACCCTGACAGATATTTTCAAAACACTTCAACTCAAATGTGCAATATTTTAAGTATACTGCACATGAATGGAGCACTCACAAAGCAAAAAATTAATAGGAACTCAGGCAAATCCAAAGGTGTGTATCCAGACCGGTGCTGAAGTTTAGGGGAATGATTAATACACAAAGTGCTAGAGCTAGGCATTCTGTCTGTGGTAGAACAAGACTTCAGTATAATCCTGGTACAATACAAAAAAAAAAAAAAATTCTCATGCAGGGTAGACAAGGATAGGCTCTGTTAGGGACGAATCATGAGCAAGAGGGTGTGAGCGAATTACAGTGGACCCCCGGTTAACGATTTTAATCCGTGCAAGAGGGCTCATCGTTATGCGAAATAATCGTTATGCGAATTAATTTTCCCCATAAGAAATAATGGAAATAAAATTAATCCGTGCAAGACGCCCAAAAGTATGAAAAAAAAATTTTTTTACCACATGAAATGTTAATTTTAATACACACAAACTGAAAAAGGCATGCACAATTACATGACACTTACTTTTATTGAAGATCTGGTGATGATTGATGGGATGGGAGGAGGGAGAGCATTATCTTCTTACTGTTTAGAAGGGAATCCCCTTCCATTAGGACTTGAGGTAGCAAGTCCTTTTCTGGGTTACTTCCCTTCTTCTTTTAATGCCACTAGGACCAGCTTCAGAGTCACTGGACCTCTGTCGCACAACAAATCTGTCCATAGAGCTCTGTACCTCCCGTTTCTTCAAGACTTTCCTAAAATGGGCCATAACATTGTCATTGAAATAGTCACAAGCACGGCTTGCAACAGCTGTGTCAGGGTGATTTTCATCTATAAAGGTTTGCAGTTCAAACCACTCTGCACACATTTCCTTAATCTTTGAAGTAGGCACAATGGATTCCACAACTGGCATAGGCTTCTCAGGGTTAGCCCCAAACCCTTCAAAATCTTTCTTAATTTCCATACTAATTCTCACCCTTTTTACCACAGGGTTGGCACTAGAAGCTTTCTTGGGGCCCATGGTCACTTATTTTCCAGAAACACCACCGAAAACACTGTAATAATACGAAATATTCCGAGTGTATGCTTGGATGTTACCGCGGAGGCTGGCTGGTAAACAATGGGACGGCCGGCACATGTGAGGGCACATTGGACGCGTCTCGGACGAAAATCGGTATGCGGGTTTTTAATCGGTATGCGGGGCAAAAATTTTGCGATAAAAGTAATCGTTATGCGGAAAAATCGCTATGCGATGCCATCGTTATGCGGGGGTCCACTGTATACACCCAAAACAGGCCACAGAAATCTCCCAAATCACTTCAACATAAGGAGTGTTACATGAAGGAATAGTCCAATTTCAATTTTTTTTTTTATTTCAGGTTAAAGAAATGGACAATGAATGAACAGAAGTAGGTCTTAAGAGTTCATCCAGCAAGTATGACAAAGCTATTTCACATCAGTTGGTCATGAGTTAAGCAGAACCAGTACCTGAAGTTCACCAATACCTTGTATGGTTAATGATCATTTTGTAATTTCCAATAATGCTTTTATCTTATTAATTTCTCATTCAAACAAACAAAATCTCTTCTAAAATGACTAGGTGATGAATTTGATGCCAATTAAAAAACATCAACACTGTAAAAAAAAATCTAAGGCTAAAAATCATCTTACCTCTTCAGCTAACATGAATAAATAATTAACCACATGCTCTGGTTTGCCCTCAAATTTCTTCCTCAGTTCAGGGTCCTGAGTAGCAATGCCAACTGGACAAGTGTTCATGTGACATTTCCTCATCATGGTACAGCCCATAACAATAAGTGGTGCAGTGCTGAAGCCAAACTCGTCAGCACCCAACATACCGGCAATCACAACATCCATCCCTAGAATACACAATTTTGGTTTTAACCTATGATTCTATCCATTTCTCTCAAAGTATTTGATATTTTGTTTTTACAATGAACTTCCTTCAATGACTCACAGTAGACTATTCTTAAAATTCTGCAAAATGCTCAATGTTGCCACAGTGGCATTTTTTGGATCCTGCACAAGTGTCACTAATAATTCGGCAAAAAACATTGGACTATCAACAATTCCAGGTTTACCAATAAAGCATTAAGATAGATGCTGAACTACTGGTTTTAAACTAACAACATTTTTAACAACCAAATCAAATTCATTACATTTCAGTAATTTAATGGGGTAACAAACTTTTAAATAATCTACTCGTGTCAACTTCATCCAAATGCAGAAAGTAGCAGCATTATATAAAACAAACTATTTAATAATATGACTTACCACAGCGAATCTGTCCATCAGCCTGTAGAACAACCCGAGACCTCAGATTATTCAGGACGAGAGTCTGGTGAGTCTCTGATATGCCAAGTTCCCAAGGAAGACCTGCACTTTTGATACCTGTCCAGCTGCTGGCTCCAGTACCGCCATCGTGACCAGAGATGGTTATGTGCTCAGCTTTACCCTAAAATAAAAAAAATACAAATACAAATATCTAGGTAGTAGGTTGATAGACAGCAACCGCCCAGAGAGGTACTACCATCCTGCCAAGTGAGTGTAAAACGAAAGCCTGTAATTGTTTAACATGATGGTAGGATTGCTGGTGTCCATTTTTCTGTCTTGTAAACATGCAAGATTTCAGGTACGTCTTGCCACTTCTTACACTTAGGTCACACTACACATACGTGTTCTTTCTTTCTTTCAACACACCGTCCGTATCCCACTGAGGCGGGGTGGCCCAAAAGGAAAAACAAAAGTTTCTCCTTTCACATTTAGTAATATATACTGGAGAAGGGGTTACTAGCCCCTTGCTCCTGGCATTTTAGTCGCCTCTTACAACACGCATAGCTTACGGAGGAAGAATTCTGTTCCACTTCCCCATGGAGATAAGAGGAAATAAACAAGAACAAGAACTAGTAAGAAAATAGAAGAAAACCCAGAGGGGTGTGTATACATATGCTTGTACATGTATGTGTAGTGTGACCTAAGTGTAAGCAGAAGTAGCAAGACGTACCTGAAACCTTGCATGTTTACGAGACAGAAAAAACACCAGCAATCCTACCATCATGTAAAACAATTACAGGCTTTCATTTTACACTCACTTGGCAGGACGGTAGTACCTCCCTGTCTACCAACCTACTACCTAGTACACATACATGTACAAACATATATATATGTACACACCCCTCTGCATTTTCTTCTATTTTCTTACTAGTTCTTGTTCTTGTTTATTTCCTGTTCTCTCCATGGGAAAGTGGAACAGAATTCTTCCTCCATAAGCCATGAGTGTTGTAAGAGGCGACTAAAATGCCAGGAGCAAGGGGCTAGTAACCCCTTCTCCTGTATATATTTTTATTATTTTTTTTATTATCACACCGGCCGATTCCCACCAAGGCAGGGTGGCCCGAAAAAGAAAAACTTTCACCATCATTCACTCCATCACTGTCTTGCCAGAAGGGTGCTTTACACTACAGTTTTTAAACTGCAACATTAACACCCCTCCTTCAGAGTGCAGGCACTGTACTTCCCATCTCCAGAACTCAAGTCCGGCCTGCCGTTTCCCTGAATCCCTTCATAAATGTTACTTTGCTCACACTCCAACAGCACGTCAAGTATTAAAAACCATTTGTCTCCATTCACTCCTATCAAACACGCTCACGCATGCCTGCTGGAAGTCCAAGCCCCTCGCACACAAAACCTCCTTTACCCCGTCCCTCCAACCCTTCCTAGGCCGACCCCTACCCCGCCTTCCTTCCACTACAGACTGATACACTCTTGAAGTCATTCTGTTTCGCTCCATTCTCTCTACATGTCCGAACCACCTCAACAACCCTTCCTCAGCCCTCTGGACAACAGTTTTGGTAATCCCGCACCTCCTCCTAACTTCCAAACTACGAATTCTCTGCATTATATTCACACCACACATTCCCCTCAGACATGACATCTCCACTGCCTCCAGCCTTCTCCCTCACTGCAACATTCATCACCCACGCTTCACACCCATATAAGAGCGTTGGTAAAACTATACTCTCATACATTCCCCTCTTTGCCTCCAAGGACAAAGTTCTTTGTCTCCACAGACTCCTAAGTGCACCACTCACTCTTTTTCCCTCATCAATTCTATGATTCACCTCATCTTTCATAGACCCATCCGCTGACACGTCCACTCCCAAATATCTGAATACGTTCACCTCCTCCATACTCTCTCCCTCCAATCTGATATTCAATCTTTCATCACCTAATCTTTTTGTTATCCTCATAACCTTACTCTTTCCTGTATTCACCTTTAATTTTCTTCTTTTGCACACCCTACCAAATTCATCCACCAATCTCTGTATATATTACTAAATGTAAAAGGAGCTTTCGTTTTTCCTTTTGGGCCACCCCGCCTTGGTGGGATACGGTCGGTGTGTTGAAAGAAAGAAGAAATACAAATATTAAAAGGAGTACTGGGACCAAACTGGTAACCTTGCAACTGCAAGTCTATCATTGTATCACTTTAGCCAGTGTACAATAGTGCATATTTATTTGTCGAATAATTAGTATCCATAACAAAAGGCCTGGTCTTTAAAAGAGGCCAACTGGTGCAAGATAAAAGTTTATTAGGTAATAAACTGATACTATAAAAAAAATGTTTAGCAGTAAAGAAATATACAAGAGAAATGGCACAGAGGTTATACCAACGGACCACTGAAAAAAAGAAAAGTTATACAAGAGCACAAGGATGGCCAATCAAGTTTAAATATTGAAATCAAATCTCTATGAATTTGCATTAAAACTGCATATTCCCAGCATTTTAGATAGTGCCAAATGCTTCTTACCTTTGCCACTCCAGAGGCTACCACACCAACACCAACTTCAGACACCAGCTTGACAGAGATTCGGGCATTTGGATTAGCACATTTAAGATCATAAATGAGTTCAGCCAAGTCTTCAATGCTGTAGATATCATGGTGAGGTGGAGGAGATATCAGACCTACTCCAGCAACAGAGTAGCGGGTTTTAGCAATATCTTCAGTAACCTAAGAAAGAAAAAGCCAATTTATCACTTTTATATATTGTATTATTTCTTTTATTTTTTTATTAACACATCGGCCTCTTCCCACCAAGGCAGGGTGGCACGAAAAGTAAGAACATTCCTCGTTCACTCCATCACTGTCTTGCGAGAGGCACGCTTACACTAGTTATAAAACAAACATTAACACCCCTCCTTCAGAGAGGTATTATATACACTATGTACAGTACTGTTTATCAAGGCAAACATTGATAAATTAGACATGTGCAACTCTTGGGTATCTTTATTTAAGATACCCAAGAGTTGCATATGTGTCTAATTTATCAACATGTCAGTTCTCTGAACCATTCATCTACAAGGCAAACATGCATGTTATCTGGGGTTCTGGGGATAATCTTCCCTGTGGTCCAGTCTGAGACCAGGCTCCCTAGGCACACAGTAAACATATCTAAACTGAACACAAGTACAGCAGAAGTTAAGATTTAAAAATCAACAGTCCTACCAACATAACATTATCATGGTAGCACCTCCCTACATGGTTGCTATCTAGCAACCGACTATAGTACAGGTCCTCCATCACAAATCCGGCATCATTGGGACCTGTAGTGGGCCGGATTACTGAGTTTGCCGGATTACAGTGGTTAGGTTAGAATATACTTAATAAAATTAACCAACTTGACTTACACAAAGTTCATTGAACATCGGCAAAAATTGAACATTTCCGCTAATTTGAGCTCAATTTCAAGGTACTTTTCGTCATGAAAGCAATTAAAATCATGTCTATTTCTGTAATATATCTTCCATTCTATCAAACGAGACAAAAAAAAAAAAAAAAACATAAAAACCATGCGAAAATATACCGCAAAGAGGCAGCTAATGGCTGAGAAGTGAACTCCCTTATTTATTGTCCGTCTTTTTTACTTTTGTTGTATGTTAAGAAGCATCTTTCCATCATACATTGCCCAAGTTTCAATGAGATAACCCAACAAACAATCTAGAAAAAAAAAATATTTACCAAAAATCATATATGACAAGCCCAAGCCAGGTACTGGAAATAAGTCACTGACTTTTATGGGTTATCCTAGGTTCTCTATACATACGCTGCTATGTATGATAGTCTATGTAACTGTATTTGTGTATACCTGAATAAACTTACTTCTAGTCTGTCAACTGAGTACGAGAAACCAACCATTCACTTATTTCAACTACCCAATAAAGTGGTCAGAAATTGGCAATTTGGCCAATTTCAACAGATGCCAATTTCAAAATAGGGTCCAGAATAAACAATGCAGACATTCCTGGCACTAAAATAACATTTTCTCTGTTCATTAGTCA